ATCGGCCTCATAATTATGCTTAATCACTAATAACTCATCCAATAGAACTAGTTCGTCCTTTGAAGAATTAGAGCGGGGTATGTGCCACTGTTGTGGTCTTTCAGTGCACGTAAGGTCTGGTGGTATTTCATCCACTTCGCTTTCAGTAAAATCGAGTATTTTGTACAGCAATGCGCCAATATGCTTACATCGACCATTAGCTCCTGCTTTACAGTTACATGCACCAGACTTCACCTGAGCCGTTTGCTTACTTAGTGATACTCTTGTCCTGTACAGTTTGTTTCTAGTCATGGAGGCCTTTACGCGGCTTTCAAAAAAACAGAAATGTTCATCCGTCGTGTGGTTGAACTTTACCTTTTGCACATGTCCTGCTTTATATAGAGCGTAACCTTCACGCTTGCTTTTGAAAGCACCTCGGCGAACTTTCTTCGAGTTACTTTCCATTTCTCCGGCTAAATGAGCAAACAAATAACAATGCTGAAATGGAGGCATTTGTTCCAAGGATAATGTCCAACCATCCCTGGGCCATGTAACTCTCTTGGGAAGATTATCGCTGGTTTGTTGTGATCGCAGCTCGCGCTCAAGTCGAAGTCGACGAAGATGTATCCCTCCATCTGGATCGACGATTTTCTTGTCCTGACCAGATATTTGATAATCCTTTATTCTATTAAAGTCAAAGACACAGCTGGGCGCTTAGAAAATCGCTTTAATTTTTAAAATCCTGACAGAAAAATACTGACAGAACTACAAACCTTGTAAGTAATTCTCTTCGACTCCCACCCACACTAGCACCTCGACACTTTAACCAACGTTTAAGTTGTTCATTATGAAAGATTTGAGGATCCTTATTTTTGAACGATGCTCCTGGGACATCGTCCTCAGTCAAAACAATTTTCTTCTTGAAATTTTCGGACTTTGAGTGGCCTTGAATGTCCTTGTTTTCATGACTCTTCGCATCAGTTGCCGCCATTTTTTTTTAAACTTTCGCGGTCTTTACTACTACAACCATAATGCACAGCGAGCGTGACGTCATCGTGCAAATGGGCTATTTTCAGTGAAACGGTTAAAATTTACATAAACCGCTATTAAAGTATACCGGCATACTGTGACCTCATAAAGAGTTGTGTCTGTGTTGTTTTCTTACTGTTTCCTGTCCTATAAACATCGTTTTAGCAAGTGTTAATGTTCTTGCTAAAACTGCGTTTATAGGGCAGAAAAACCTGTTTATATGTACTTTTGACCGTTTTATCGATCTTATGATAAATTTCCATACAAATCCTCCTAATTTGGCCTCCGGTAGTATAGGCTGTTGTGATTCTGGCCCCCTGTAGTTTAGTCTGCATATAACCTTTTAGTAGAATCCAACTAGTGGTCTATTATTATCAATGCTGCATTCTGATTGGTTGAGCTACTAATAGGCTATATGTTACAGCCCACTAGTAGCGAAAAGCGGAGGCTTTTTGGCGGCAAAAAAGGATTAAAGTCTAGCTTTTAGCTAGCTAAAATTTTTTTATTCTCGATGTTTTTGACCAACTAGTTGTATTTTACTATTTTTACTCCTGACCTCTGAGTCAATAGCCCATTCGGCCTTCGGCCTCATGGGCTATTGACTCAGAGCCCATTCGGGCTCGACGAATAATTGTTAAATATAGCGTGTGGCACGAACGTTTTGCGAGAGTTTATTCTTTGGGAATGGCGATTTTTTGTGTCAGTTTGCGGGAACTAGTTTTTGCTATTAGGACAAATTGCTTTTTCCTGCTGGGAATTAATTTTTGCGATTTTTTTAAAGTACCCGGTACCCAGCATTGATAATGTTTTCGTTTTTGTTAAGTACGTGCAAAAGAAATGCATATTTTCAAACAATACTACGGTAATGCGTACCCTATGTAAAACCAGTAATTCATTGTATTGTTAAACAATAAAAATGCAAGCAATGCAAATTTTGATTTATGATCTCCTGTCATGAATTCAGTGTGAAGACAGTTGTTACGTTTTCATGGGTTTTTAACAGGTCGCATAGCATGGTCTGTATTTACGAATACGGTACGGTTTTGACATCTCGACCTTGACTGGTCTTTTGTTGGAAATTACGAGGAAATAGTTCCTGTCCTTGTTTTGGATAAGTTCTGGCTTGTTTCTCGTAGTATCAACCGAATCCATACTATAGCTGGTATTACTTAAAAGTGAAAAGTAGTTGTATAGGTAATAGCATGATTTGTAGTGATATTTGGCATAAATACTACGAGTGATATTTCGAAATTGTCATACGTGATTTCACGAGCCGTTAGGCGAGTGAAATTTGAGACAATTTTGAAATATCACTCGTGGTATTTATGCCAAATATCTCTTACAAATCATGCTATTACCTATACTAATAGTTTAGATATTTCCTGGTCACATCACAGCTGACATCGTAACTGTATTGATTCTTCAAGCTGTAAATGACCTGTAAGAAGTTGATAGCCACAAGTGTTGTGATGACTGTGATCAGACTCGTGAGGTTGTGTTTTTGGCATCGCATAGTTAATTCATAAGAACGTTTAGCCAATCATATTCGGAGAAGCTTGACGCAACTTTAGAACCCTTTTAGCAAGTCAGTATTGTAGGAATTCTATATAGAACTCGACACCTTGTGATTCTGATATTGCTCCCTTGTTTTATACTGACTGGACAGCCCAACATTAACAGTGAAATTTAAGAAAGAAAATGTTTTGACAAGGCAAACGCCTCGAAGGTTTCATGCGGATGAGTCACTTCTAGCCAATCACAGAAGACTTAGAGGCAAGTTGGAATTGAACAGACACGATTTATTAGTACTGTATTTTTGTGTAGCGAAATTAAGTTAGAGAATATCTACTCTGGAGTAAATTTTTGCGGAAAAAAATGTTTGCGGTAATTCTTATTGTGGGAACTTATTTTTGCGGATCGCTGGAAAAATCCCAAAAATTTCGTGCCACACGGTACTCAGTTTACCTCCTTACCTGATTCAAAGCCGGGCCAAACACATGGTTTAGCCAACCGTGTATTAAATCATAATCCCATGTTTTCCCCTAGGGCTAAAAAGGGTAGGTTATTTTAGGATCTGAAACGACGGCCGTCAGCTACTTTGTTTCTTATCTATTATTTCTACAGGAACATATTTTATAATCAAACGACGTCAAGATGTGTTCCTTGCAATCACATTATGTTCCTTAAGACGCATAAAACTGGTGGATCAACTGTCGTCAACATCCTCTTTCGATATGGAGACAGCAGGAATCTCACATTTGCTCTTGGAGCCTATCATCTAGACTGGCCACATAGATTCCGCTTATCTAAGACCCTTCCTATCTACGGACAGCCAAACATTTTGTGCAGCCATACAGTATTTAACAAAAAACCCATGAACTGGCTTTTTCCGCGAGAAATTAGCAAGTACGTAACAATTCTTAGAAATCCGGTGGATAATTTTGAGTCTACCTTCAACTATTACCATATAGGTAACAGTTTAGGCCTAGGAGACGATCCTGTGGTTTCACTTGAGAAATTTCTAGAAAGACCGCCATCATTTTCCGTTGCAAACAAAAAACACAATATAAGAAACCCAATGATGTTTGATTTGGGTCTTAGCCAAAAATATTTCCAAAATTATACAGCTGTTACCGAGTACATTAACTTTCTAAACAAAGAGTTTGATTTGGTTATGATTATGGATTACTTTGACGAATCATTAATATTGTTGAAGCGGCTGATGTGTTGGGAAATCGATGATATTCTTCACGTGAAGGTAAACGAACGACTAGACAAGGAAAGGGCTTCTTATCTGAGTGACAGAGTAAAGGACAACATAAAACTGTGGAATAAGGCAGACGTTCTGTTATTCACTTATTTCAATGCAACATTTTGGAGAAAAATAGAAATGGAAGGTTCAGGGTTTTACGAAGACCTGTCTGCTTTCCGTCAAAGGAGATTGAAGCTTCAGCAAATGTGTTTTGAGAATGGAACTGGGGCAGTGCAGCGGATTTTTGGGACGAAAGATGTGAAGGGCTATTCCACTAGAAAGGATTTGAATTCAAGTCTTAAATTTTGGTGCAATCGCTTCACCATGAGGGAAGACAGTTATCTAGATAAGCTGCGTGAAAAGCGTAAGGAACAATTGGAATCGTCAGATTTGGAGAAACAGACCAGTATTGATGACTCTATTAGTTGGGATGTGGCAAAAGATTTGCAGTATGTACCCGTAGAAACTTAATACACGGTAATTAGTCGGGATAGATCGGGAGCATGTAAAGCCAATGAAAAGGATTTTTTCGTTACTTCTTTATCAAGGCTGCTAGTGCGCATGCTCACCCAGGAATCTACCAGATAATTAATGAACTTTATTTTCGGATCAGGGAAAGGGTTGAAGACAAGGAACGTGTCAGCATTGATCAATCCATCATTTTGGACTACCTCTGTCAATCTTGATGAGGGAGACAAAAATCTCGTGCTATTTTAAAAGGCAGTCTTTTCTAGCTTAATTGTTTTAGTATTTTTTAATATTGTACAATAATTAATGCTATAATATTTTAACTGATTTTATCTTTTGTAGGAGATTTTGTTATTGCTATCATTAGTTTTAACTTTATTTCATGAAATTTGATTTCGATTTCGATTATTTTGATTCGATTATGTAAATGTTTCTTAATTGTTATAACATAATGCGTATATAATGTAAGCAACATGCAACCCTAAACCCTCAATATGAGAATAGTAACAGGGAAAGGAGGATTCACAGTCGCTTGCTTCGTCACCATATTTGAGAACCTGACAAAGAGTGTCGCACATGGTTTCCCTTATCTGGAAATTCTCAAGGGGAGGTTGAGGCATTTTTACCAGGCAACACAAAATGGTGCACGTCAATCAAGAACACATTTTAAAGAGTTCTGGATTCTTATTTGAGAATACAATACCGTATTTATTCAATTAAGCACCCAACCTCGAATTGGCGCCCACCTCGAGTAAGGCCCATCCTAGAGGCAGAAAAAGTTAATAAGCACCCGGCGTCGAATAAGCGCCCACCCCACCCAACTCTCCTCCATAAACAAAACTCCAATAAGAGATAATAAGAGACCCTCCCGAAGACGGAGTTTTCTTCAGAGTATTTTACAGAAACCTTCTTGGTTGCATCTTCGCTTTTTGTAATTAGCATTTACTGTTTTGTTGCAAAATATACTACTACACTTGCTGAGAATAGTGAAAATTTATTAAGCGCCCAGCCTCGAATAAGCGCCCACTCTCAAGGTCAAAAAATTTAATAAGTACCCAGGGTGGTTAATCGAATAAATACGGTAACTCACTGAGGGCAAACTGGAAAAGTTGTACAAAAATCGAACAAAAATCGAAACATGGAAGCAAAGAATTGTGAATCGAAACGAATGGTCATAATCGCGATTAATCGACAATACGATTAATCGTTACACCACTAATCATATTCAACTAGACGTCTGGCATGATGGCACCCTTATTGCAAGACTAAAAATGTTTGAAAAAAGGTTGAATAAAGTATATAGTTCAGTTAAAATGCAATGATTCAATGACCACACTACTACATCTCATTCAAACTACAGGTCTGTAGTCTCAATGTAACTCTATTAGGACACACAAATGTAAAAGAAGGGGAACGGACTTAACCCTTTTTTAACAGAAGTCAGTTCAATGACGACATGCCAGTTCAATAATCTCAGCAGCCCATGTGCAGCAATATTTTCTGAGGGGAAGGAGAAACTGTACACATGCTATTTTCTCAGTATTAGTTCTAAAAACACACATCAAACCAATTTCCATTGTCCAAAATAAGGAATTAACGGAGCAGAGTATTTTATTACTTTGGGCAAGACAGCTAGATCGAGTTTACATGTAAGTTGGATTAGGGGCCGGGGGGGGGGTACTCCCTTACAATATAATGGGGTCGCATTTTCAATAGAGTTGCTAGAATGGGGTCGCAAATTTTCAAAATAGTTCGGATTTTTGAGGCAAGTAGGGATTCAAAATGGGAAGCTTCTCGGCTAAAAAATCAGAAATTGTTGTTTATTAAGTTTAACAATAAGCTCACATTGCCCGCATTACATTCCGTTTTTGAAACCACATTGATAAGGTAGATGCACAAATAGAAAGTGACTAAGTTGGGATCGTACCCCCCTCCCCTCGGGGATTAAGGTTGCAGGTTTTGTTTTGCTGACCACAGTTCAATGACCTGACCACACCTCAGTTCAATAATCATGGCAGAAGTTTATAAAAAGTACATCGATTCAATGTCCAGTGACACTAATTTACGGAATAGAAGCAATAGTTTTTATTACTCTGGGTGAGGTGGAAGCAAGGGAAAGAGGTGAGGGTTTTGCATGCCTGAGCTTCTGGTCCATCCGTAAAACAGCTGGCATTTTTCATTGCTTGGCACTGTTAATACCTGTGTGAAATACCTCATGGAATTCCATGGAAATCTATGGAAATCCATGGAATTCCATGGAATTCCACGGAACGTCCATGGAGTATCAATGGAGTTCCGTGGAATGCCATGGAGTTCCAGGGAGTATCCATGGAGTTCCATGAAATGCCATGGAATTCCACGGAGTTCCATGAGGTAGTGATGGAGTTCCATGGAATGCCATGAAATTCCATGGAGTCTCCTTGGAGGTCCATGGAATTCCATGGGGTTCTCTGAAGTACCGATGGAGTTCCATGGAATGCCATAGCGTGTCCATGGAGTTCGATTGAATACCATGCAGTTTGTATGAGAAAATCCATAGAAATTCAGTAATCAAGCAACTCATCATATTGTTAACCACATGTTCAAGTCTGCACTTTTTATTGGATAGAAAAATAGGAAACATTTGGAAGCTTTCTAAAAGCAAAATAGTGGGTTTAGTTTAAATTACATAGACAATGCAAAAGTATTGTTCACCGATGCTGAAAGTCCCAGTGTAAGATATTTTATTGCTAACTATAAAGAGGAATGTTTTGTGTGCTTAATAAAAAATGATCCTGTTAAAAAAAATAAATATAGAAAATTATTTTTTAGTGGGGCTGTCTGCCATTAATCTTTTAAAATCAGTGTTGTATTTAAAATATGAGAAGATCACTGTTAACAACATGCAGTCGCTTCATTATATTGACACAGTGCCGCTATTCGTACAGGACCTGACACCGACGTGTATTTGCTATGACATACGGGATCAAGTCTCTACTTGAAATTTATATGAAATTTCTGATCAACAAATTTCCATGAAAGTGTAAGTCTCTTCTCCAATTTCATTGGCAAATTTTGAAAAGAAGAAAAATTCGATGTGGCAGGATTGAGAACCGATCCAGGGGCGTAGATTCCATAGTTCGTAGCCTAACAGTAGTAACTCGCTGCTAGCTGGAGTTTGATTTTATTCATTTAACAACAACCGTAAACCTAATTAGAAGCTAATAACCGTTTCGAGTCAGAGCTTTAATAGCCCTAATCAGTTTAGTCAGAATCCCGTACGAATAGCAAATACAAGACGATGTACGGGTCCCGTACTTAAATTTCCAGTAGAAAATGATCCCACTAGGCACATAACTCTTCTCGGTATCGAAGTGTCTTTGGTTGAACGCTAAGATTTTCCCTGTTACTCGAGTCCAACCTGATTGATGAGATTGCTTTGCATGGAGTATTTCGGCGAACCTACACAAGCAATATTAGAGTTTTTTTGCCGCATCCGTGGATAGGCTAGTTTGCTACACAGCCGTTTTCAGAGTAGCCTGCGAACCGCAGACGCATTTCCAGTCGTCGCTTCTCTCCCTCCGAAAAATAGCTATTTTTCGGTGGCAGAGAAGCGACGACCGGAAATGCGTCTGTGGTTCGCAGGCTATTTTCAGAGGGGAGGAGCGTTGCTTGACGACTGTGGCAGACTATGAATAGGCTGCTGCCTTTTTTCGAAGGTTCCCTCACCTGGGAAAACAATGCAATATTTTCCTCTCACTGCTTTACTCTTCGACAGCGTCGGAATAATACAATTAACTCTGAAAGGGACCACAATATAAAGCCTTTAAAGACAGACATCTCCACGATCGTGCCGTGATTTGACGCTATAGCTATGTTTGGTGCTTGAACTGGCATCCAGGCCTCTCCGGTCAGTGACTTACGCGATCACGTGGGGCTTTTGAACCAATAGAAATGCGTAGAAGATCAGTTTTCTTGGTTCGAATGTTTAGGCGGACTTCTGTGCAGTACGACAGATAGACCTATTCGGCTAACTCAATGTTGTACCCAATTCAAATCTTGCATTATAATGTTGCATTCACATTTAAATGATATGGAAATTCCTGAAAAAAAACGTTTTGTCCCCAAAGGGTTTGAACTGGGTACAACATTTAGTTAGCCGAATAGGTCTATTGTCTTTGCAATGAATGCATCCGAAAAAGATGCTCTTTTCAAAGCAAAATATCACTTGTGACGTTGCTTACATTTGCCTTGTTTCAAATCGACTTCGATTAAACAATGACTCAGCTGGATCGCATATTAAAGAGGAAGGAAAGCTTAATAGCGGGGCTCCCTCGAGCGGGAAGCGCGCGTGGGACAGAGCCCCATACTCATTGAATATGGTCAACCTTTTTTCTTTAGGTTGTCACGTGACTGACCGAGCGTAGGTACGTACGCGTCTACAGATTGTACGGGTAGGGTTGGGGAGACTATCAAAAGGGAGGGAGGGGTGTCTCAGGCGTTTCTTGGCAAACCCACATCTTTTAGATTGGCCATTTACAATCGACAGCTGTCAAAACAGGATAGCCACTGACCAGTATCACACTGCCATATCGAGGGCTCATGTGTCAACTCATCAAGGTGACGGGATTTATTTGGAAGCTGTCCGCTGACCAGTTGTTTTACTAGATCGCGATCAATGTTCAATCTCATACTTTCTAGCTAGTTTGAGAGCACAGGAAAACTGATAATGCACACATCCATTGGACATCAATGTTTTTATCAATTGACAGCTGTCAAAACAGGGTATCCGCTAGCCAGTATCACTTGACCGTATCGCGGGCTCAGGTGTTGACCCATCGAGGTCAAGTATTTTTTGAAGTTATCCGCTGACAAGTTAATAGTTTTCAAATGATCGCAGGCTCATGTTCGATTTTTTTTTCATTCATATGAAATATGTTTTGTTTTAGGGCCGCACAATTAAAATTTTGATTTAAAACTGACCTCGGACCCGAAAATTCAGCCAGCTATTACAGGCAGGGAAGACAGTTGCTTTTGACTTTGCTCACCATGGTCACGCGTTGGTCGCGGCGTACGTCCATTTTTTATGCTCTGATTGGTCAAAATTTGACAGGTGAGCTCATGCGGAAAATTTATGCAGCATCTTGAATCTTATTTACTTCGACAGCTGAAGCTGACAGAGTTTTGTGTCAACTTGTGATGTTTTTAACTGTCTTTTTCCACTGGATGCACAAAATGAAATTCAGCTGCTATCAGGAGTCTTCTGTTATAATTATTCATGGCTAGTTGGTTTTTGGTTGAGGAATTAATACATCACTTGTCAAAGTCGGGAATCTTATTTCGGAATGGTGCCATCGTTTTCGTTTTTCACCTTGCTTGATGCGTAAAGGTTGAAAAGTCTGAAGCGATACTGGCCTTACTTAATACCTTTCAGGAGCTGCATCTCGAATGGCAAGCCTCAGTAATTATTGTGTTTGATGTTTGTTTTTTATATCTAATTTATGAAAATGAACAATATTTCAGAAGCGTACTTGTAACAAACGTTTGACAAAGTCAACTATGATTTTAATACGTTTTGGCGTGGAGAAGAGGATATCAATTAAAAGGCTCTCCATATTCTTCTCCATATTGTAATGACTCTCCATCATTGAGGAACACGGCTACGCGTTTTCATATCTGTAATGTTCAACACGCGTTTGTGAAAAGTTGATAATGTACACAAAATAAATTTATAACAAAAAAGTCTCAAGTTAACACATTTATTTGACAACTGATTGCATGGACGGATTTTATTTTATTTTTTTTTCCGGTAATCTTTTGTCACACTTGACGTGCAATTCACCTTAGCCAAGATAGCCAAACCTGCCGTAGCCGGGATGCTGAAAAACAGGACAAGGTAAGCTGGGGTTTCAAAGGCAACATGGTGAGCTATTTACAGAATTATATTAAAATCATTACGGTGAGTTATAATTAGTCATTGGTTAGCTACCAAATCATGAAATTTTAATATCTGGCTTTGAGAATATTGACATTTCGAAATTTTACGTACAGAATATTGAAATTTTAAGTTTTGACATTCTAAAAAAAAATTCACGATTCTCCATTACAAATCTTGAAATGTCTCAAGATTTTGAATACCAATTAGTACTTTAAATACAACATTGACACTCAAATAAAGTGCATTTTTTTGCACAAACAGGCTGAACAGGGCATGAAACAAACAAACAAAGTCGTGGGCATTTTCCCAGAAACGTAAAATGATCCACAAAGTCTTCTACCTACAACTCTGGCCGGTCCGTACTACCTTTCCCATCTCTTAATTCTTTAGTATAGTTGAGACCCGGGGGGGGTACTTTAGGAATTTTTGGGTGGGGATGTGCCGCTGGGACCCTGGAACCCTTAACCTATACCAGTGCTAGTTCAGCTGAATTTTGCTACCCTTTACTAGAGTAAACTCCCCAAAACCCCCCTATCCTAGAGTAGCTGTTTTCCAGAAACTACTGCACAGTTTAGCCAAAATAAGTTGAGTTGCGTAAATTTCAACTTGCCGATTTGATTTTTTTACATGTTTGAGTGGCAATTCACGGTTTCCCTCTAGTCTAGATAAAATCTTCAACCAACTGATCAGTTTCCTGTAAAATGATACCCTATTCTCGACCCAACCGTTCTGATTTAGATACCCTATCCTAGAGTAAACTGCTCGAAAAACATACCCTTCACAGCGGCACATACCTATATAGCCCATATATGGCAGTACCCCCTCCGGGAGTTGAGACTTTGTCGACATGAGTCCATTTAAAAGACACTAAACGATCTCGCAAACAAAACGATTGTTAGAGAGGATAAAATCGTGACAGATAAATATTAGCCTGCGTTGCAAGCGTTTCCATTACAGGATTTTCGGTTTTGGCCGCGCGAAACCGTACAGAAACGCCTTTGCCATGCAGGATAGATAAACATCATTCTCATGTACTATTAACACCTGTAATAACACGACGTGATTTAACCTACCTTGAGTTCTTTTTGAGCAATGCCTGCAGTTTTATCTACTTCGGGCAAGGTCCTGACCACTTCAACATCTATGGAGGAACAGGGAGGAAGTAATGTCAGTTACAGGGACAACAAACATGAAAAGTAACGAATTTTACGAAGTTGGATTGTTCAGTTTTTTTTTTCTCGTTCCAAATATGGTACTTGCGAATATGAATACAGTGGAACCCCGTTAATTATACGACCACCTTCGGGCCATGGAATTTGGTCGTATTAACGGGGTAGAGTCAAATTATGGTGCAAAATGCTTTTAAACTACATTCTACTACATGTATACCTTTAATCCGTTATAAATCAACCTTTTTGCAGTTATTAACAACCTTACAACCGTAATTCAATGCAACTGAACAATGTAACAGTAAACGAAACCGAGTAATGCGAAAAAACACTGACTTCTTTCAGTTCCTTGTTATGAAAGGAAAGGGCTTGTGATTTGTCTCGAAGAGCCGTTTTCTATATTGTAGCTTACAACACTTTCACAATTATTACAAAGTTCAAAGTTCTGGGAGAAAAGAAAAGGAAATGGACTTGAACAGAAAAGCCACAGTGGAAGGCAGCAGAAACAAGAAGGCAAAATAACTTTGAGAACCTCGAAATGCTGCAAAGTGAAGTCTTTCAGATCTTTTGTATTGTTTATTCATGCATCCTTTTTACTGCACACAACAATTTAGCGGATGTCATGCTAACCACTAACACCTTTGCCTAAGAACATTCAATAAAATATTAGTAATGGGTTATTGTTTTCCAGATTGTGTCTGTTTTCATTCAGCAGCCCCACCAAGCATTTTGACCGGTCGTAATTTTATAAAGAAAATAACGACCCAGGACTCCCAAAGGTGGTCGTTGGTCGTAATAACGGGGTGGTCGTAATAACGGGGTTTTCAGGTAAGAAAATGAGTGGGCTTTTATTCGGGCCACAAAAAAGTGGTCGCAATAACGGGGTGGTCGTATGGCGGGGTTCCACTGTATTCACGAGCATCGGACAAGGCAAACATATGAGAGTTACACTGGGGTTTCAGCCCCTTATGGGTTTCTGATAGTACCCGACAACTGTTTGATAATAAACTGATTGATTATCAGCAAAACTGATCGAAATTTGAGACAGCTTACCATGGTTGATGACGGATATATAATCGATTTTACACGACAGATTACCGATTGATGATATGCTGGCTGATCGATTTTACGTATCTTGTAGACAAGCACAATATAATAATATTTTAATTGATCGATAACTGGTCGGTAAACACGATCCGCAAAACCAGGAGCCCATCAAATGGCAAAACTGATTGATTGGAGTTAGTAAACTATTTTAAAAGAAATTGTTCTTAATAATGACGACGAAAAAGCAATAATGGCAGGATCATGAGTCCTTCTTTCTGACTTTAAGCGCTTATATCCATGGTTCAGAACAAAAAAGATTAAAAATTTATAACCAATGAAAAAATTAATTTCGAAACAAACGGCGCGTCATACCCACCTACCCCTCCCCTAAGCCAACATTAACACTTACTTCTCACTTAGGGCAAAATGCTGGCTTAGGGGAGGGGTAGGTGGGCAATTTCCCAGAAACGTAAAATGATTCGACTTTGTTTGTTTGTTTCATGTCCTGTTCAGCCTGTTTGTGCAAAAAAATGCACTTTATTTGAGTGTCAATGTTGTATTTAAAGTACTAGTGGGGACACTACTTGACCGCCACGGTTTAAGCGCCCCTACCGACTAAGCTAATCCTGATTGTCCTGATTTCTAATCGCACCTTCTGGTTAAAGCGCTCACGTTTGTCAATCCACTTTTCAGATAGAGAAGGATAGTCACCTTTTGGAGCGGCTTGAACAGAGACAAAATGTGCGACAGCAGCGACTCAGAGACTACTGTGAGAAGCAGAAATCGAAGCTATCGATACGATCATCCTATAATTGTTAACGATGAGTATAAAGTAATCTTCTGCTATATTCCCAAGGTGGCCTGCACTCAATGGAAACTTGTCTTTCTTGCTCTTGATAACCGCACCGATGTGGATGATGTGCATGATGACAAACATTTATACAAATTTCTCTTTAATGATTATTCGGACGAGGGTATTAAAGTGAGGCTACAATCTTACTTTAAGTTTCTGTTTGTTCGCGAACCACTCGAGAGGCTTTTGTCAGCCTACAATGACAAGTTCATAAACAAGATATGGCCTCGGGAAATGATTGAAAGTTATAAAACGAAAATTTTGGAAAGATACAAACAAGACGAACCTAGCTCTGGCAGCTCTGAACATGAACTTACTTTTAAGAAGTTCATTTATTATGTGAGTGATGTTGGGTTTGATAGAAATCCCCACTGGCGATCGTACGGCCCACTTTGTCACCCTTGTTATATAGAGTACAATTTCATCGGTCATTTTGAGGACATGCCAGAAGAAGCACCTTATATCCTTCGGCAAACAGGAATGGATCGGGCGGTGACCTTTCCTCCGTTTCATACCCACAATACTACAAGTCAACTTCTTAAAAGCTATGCCCCGATACCCAAGGAGAAGATCGCTCAGCTGGGTAAGGCCTTTCAAGAAGACTTTGAAATGTTTGATTACGATTTCCCAGGGCGTCTATCCGATCTCATGCACGATTAAAAAGCCAGTATCTATAGCAAATACATATCTACGAGGAAAGTAAATCCGATTTTTAAATTAGAGGTCTTAGTCGGAATACTGTTAACGGGCAGGTATTACAATCGCCTGAAATTTAGCCTGCTTAGCAGGCGCTTATAAATAATATGGGCGCGAGAATGAACGGGGTTCTCAAAGGGGAACACGCTCCCTCTTACGTCGCGCGCCCTTTTCTTTTTTGCGCCTATGTTACTTACAAGTGTCTGCTACGCTAGGCTCAGTCTCCAACCGTGGGTGTTTCGATGCGCCCGCGGTACTCCCCACCCAACTGGAGACTGGGGCTCCTGCTACGCAAGCTACCTGAAATTGACTCGCTCGTGTATGGGACCTTTTGACATACTAAGCCACATGGGAATAAGGGAGAACATTCAATGAAGTAGACCAAGAGAGAATGATCTAGCTCATTCTCTCTTGAGTAGACAGGTACTCTAAACAGTTTATCTAGAGGTGAAGCGGATAAAACTTTAACAATGACTACAAATAAACTTGCTTAAACTCTACAATGTAATTTACAAAAAAAAAATCACCTAATAAAATCGTGTGATATACATTGCTGTAAAAAATACTATTCTTTTTAGTCTGCTCGTTTTGGCAACGGTTAACGTAGCCTGTGCCAGGCCCTCAGATAGCACTGAACGACTTTCCACCACCATCTCGGAGCCTGGAACAGGCTACGGTTAACGTGATATCTTCGGCTGTTTTTCAGACTAAGACAATGACTAACACTACACTACGTCGCGTTAATTTCTAATACCTTAATTTCATGGAGCGTTAATTTCCTCCTGTAAGGTAACTTTGCACGTGCATCACGCGTATTGCACGATTCTTTGCTGTCATTGCTCGATGGCGACATGAAATGTCCTGATCACGGGATCACAGAAATGTTCCTTTTCTTTCTTAACTCAGATACGATTCGATTCGACGCCAGAAAATTTCGCTAACATTTGGCAAATTAATTGAAGTTGAACAAGAGCAATGAAGTTTGAAAAAGTGAGAATTCACGTTTTCTGTTTTTTGTCATCCAGATTTTGCTACCATGGTAACGTGACCTAACGGCTTCTCCTTTCTACTGGGGAGTCTATATATCTTAACGCTTAACATGAATATAAATCTACTCGTAGTGACGTTTTCTTGTTGTCGCCGTCCCACGGGTGTATCCTTTGCATGGGCGCAATCTCGTGCCCAGGGCCTACCCAAGAGCTCCCCAGAGAGCTTGCTCGCAGGCTAGATGTAGCGTTGCAGTTGTGTTTACTGAACCTTGCAAGACAAATTTTACTACCGTCCCCGACCCTCTAGAATTTCAAAATTTTGCTCGAAGACCAAACTGTAACGGAGATTCTTTTCCAGTCCTATGCCGCGACTACCACGATAGATCGCGCGCATGACCTGATTGGCTTTCATATCACATTACGTCAGAGGACATGTTCACAAGATAGGACATAACTACAACGGTACAGCTAGATTCGTACATCCCATCTGGGAAATCGTTAGATGATTATGATGATGAAGATGATACCTTTATCTAAGTGTCAATCTGTAATAGCGGTGAAGAACCACTAAGGGGGTACACTAAAAAAATAACTTAAAAAGAATGAATAAATAAATTAGTTAATTAAAAAAAAAAAAAACAGATTTTTTATGGAATGGAAGCCTTTTTCACGTTACAAGGAACAGACCTCCATACCTATACCTTTGGGCCATATACATGAGCGAGTGCTTTTCAAGGGAGACTGTGTTAAATCTTGGTATAGCGACTCTCCTCTTCGCAGATGCTCCTACTGGGCATCCCAAAAATAGAAAGCGCGCGGGGACGATTCCGCGTCTTCCGTCTTTCTTTCTCCCCAGTCTCCCCACAACAGAAAGAGGCCTCTACAGCGTAGAGGTATAGGGAAGTCATGATTGCGCAATTTATACTTAATTGCTGCAGGCTTATCAAATAGAGTGCTAATGTAGGTAGGTCATCTGCATACATATTTAATAATCATCAAAATCATGATTTTGCTCAGTGTGGCTTTTGTTGAAAACCCCCAGGAACTCCTTAATACACTAAAATCAAAGAAGGCTTTGGTTTTGCATTAACGACTGATTTGTGTTAAATCTTAGAAAACTAGTTGCTTGGAAACGAAGTTAGTGTAAAAATATTATTGTACCTTGCAAATGCAAATTGCAAGTGTTTGTTTTTTTTTTCGCACTTTTCATCGAACAAAAACGATGAAATGAAAAATTGATGAATTTTTTGTTTACTAGTTCGAGCATAATTCAAAATCTCATGTTGGTTTGGAAGCATCCTTTAAATGTGATTCAGTAATTGTTTTCTGTATGACAACGCTACGAAATCAGAAGTGATTGATAGAACAAGCTGTTTCTCCTTAATATCAACAACAACAACAACAACAACAACAAAAGCTTTATTTGCATGACCATAAAGGAATTACAGTATTGCAAAAGCTATAAGTCTAAATTTAAGTACTAATTCAATCAGATAAACTCATGTTACGGGGTAGAGCTATACAGAAGTAGTAAGAAGAATTCAGATCATTTTTACCTTCGCCAAAAAAAAAAAAAATACGTGGCTAGCCTTAGACATAAATTTTAGTTTTCAGACTTTTTAGGCTCGAAAAGAGATTGTGATTCTAATGAAAGGCTGTACCAGGAGCCCATCAAATTTAATGGGCACCTGGCTGTACCACTTTTCAACCACGTCAAGTTACAAGAAACTTTCCTACAACCAGGTGTGTCCGCATTATATATCTTGGCAATGAAGATAAGTATTGTCTTTGCTTTTGCGCTTCGTATCATACGGTGGCCGAATATCAGATTAAACTCCATCAGGGGTAATGTACCCCCTCACTGCCACGCCCACTTTGCATACTGATACCAACGCAGAAGAGCATTGTGGGATTGCTCACAGTGCAGGAAGTTTTGTAATCTTATGGTAATGGCCTCCGGTTAAAATCAGTGACAAAATCAAAAATGTTTGGGAGGAAAAAGCCCGCAGATCCCTCCGCAGAATGGACGAAGACTGGAAGCTTTGTCCACAAGCCTAAAAGAGGATGGCTTCATTCTGACAATTCATTGATGGGAGGCGGTGTTTGCTACGCTGTCAAAGTGAGTTGAGTTACATGTAAAGCTTGTCGTTTCCAGTTGGTACAATATAAAGCTGCCTGTTCGTTGCTTACTGTCTTGTGATTTTAAGCTTATCTAGGGACTTAAAAATTTACTATGCGCAGGAAATTTACGACTATGTTACTCTGCAGTCAGATTACGCCGAGTCTAGAAGTAAATCAAATTCAAACGTCAACAAGCGTATTCAATTTCGAAGTACTGGCGCGGAATTCTTTGTCAAGTTATAATTAATGTTGCTTCCTTTGCTAATGTCATATTTTTCCTGATCAGTATGTTGGCTGTTTGCAAGTTTTAAAGTCCATGCGAACTCTTCAGTACGATATGCGGCAGCAAGTAACAAGGTATGGATTGTACCGTTATTTCTGAGCTATGATGAAGAAAAATCGCAAAGCGATTTGCAACGCTCATAAATTAGTTGTCAATTACATTGGGAGAAGTATTCTCTCATTGTGCTAAACTTGTTTTTTTTTTACGCCTATTTCTGCCGTTTATTTGAAAGTCGTAGTATACCCAAGTCACTGAGAAATAATTTAATCAGGGGGGTAAAAATCTTTCTCAGCTGCCTGCTGTTTGTGAGCACTGAAGTACTCTTGCAATGATACAGTTGCCAGATCCAGTTCAATATTTTTACAAAATTGAGCTGTAAGAGAAATATTGCATGGAGCCTAAAGGATCTGAACCTGCAAAATCCAGGGTACCAATATGCAGGGCTGTCATTAGGTTTTTAAGTTGGCAGGTAAGGAAACACATAGGAAATTTGTTTGGTTCTATTTTTCTTCTATTTTCCTTGGAAACTTATTGGAATAGAGGATAGACGTATTCCCGAGGAAGTTCTGTATGGACAGTTGAGGACGGGAGTCAGGAAAGACATGCGCCCCACTTTGCGGTTCAAGGAGGCATTGTGAAATTGATCCCAACAACTGGGAAGTTGCCGTTGGTGATGGTGACTGCCAGAGATGGACATTGAAAGAGGGAATCGAGAAAGCAGATGTGAAGAAGTGGGCTGCAAAAGCAGCTTCACTCTGCCCTCATCCAACTTCATTTGCATCATGTGTGGTAGAAACTGCCACTCACACATTGGCCTACACAGCCACACAAGACGTTGCAGTTCCACTACGGATTAACAAGAGTGGACAAGCTTTGTTGCTTAACTAATCATGCAAATGTCCAATTACTGCTGAATTGCTTGTCTTTTTCTTTAAAAGCATGATGAGTTTCCATAGCAACCATGTGACATACTAAAAATTCTTCTCAGTTTAGCTTTAAGTTGCTATATTACTCAAAAGAAATGTTGCTGCCCCCATGTTATTATTAAATAGAGCTTACCATGTTATTAATGCATCTTTCTGCAACTGAAAGCAAAATTGCTCACAGGAAGGAATTTGCAGCCTTTTTTTCAGTTGTTGATTAAGAATTGAAAGTTTAGAAAGTAAAAGCTGGCTGCATGAGATATATGTTTGTTAACCCAAATTTTGATCATATTTTACTGAATATGAGGGGCTATTCAGATGATACCAGAATGACTTTCATTTTGGAACAACTTGCTTGGACTTTGTTCCAGATTGAAAATCACAAATTGTTTAGTCTCGGGCAAGTGGCACATGCATATCTGATCAGGGATGAGAAAAAATGTGTTTGACTGAGACATTTCAATTCCATCATGTTAATGCAGTACAAACTTTACTCGAGAACAAAACTCATTCCAGAATGAAAGTCATTTTGGTATCTTATAAAGAGCCCCTGAACATGAGGTGCTGAAAAGTCCAAGCTGTAAATGAAGCTCTGGATTTGAAGTCTTGTGTGTGTTTTTTTGTAACTGCAAGTGTTGAGAAGGGCACAGCAAGTATCCAACCATAACTCGGCTCACATGGAATGAATGTTCTTTTATTCAGATTCAAAATTTACCACTGTTATTGTCCTTTGTCACGCTGCAGCCGTTTTGTCTCAGGAAATTTGAAAAGCTTTGTTTATGCATGGCTAGCCTCGTTCTCTCTACGAGACTAGCCGTACCTAAACAAAGCTTTTCAAATCTCCTAAGACAAAATGGTCACCGTGTGACAAAGGTCTGTTGGGTTTGCAAATGCACAAAACACGTTGGTTTTGTGTAGCTCAATTATTGGATTATAAGTGATGTATCTAGGCCCATTGCATTATCATGGTTTGAATTCTTGTAAAGTCTATTTTTTTTTCATCTCTTTCTTGTGAATGTGAACACCTTTAAGATTACTGCTATGATTATAGCCGTAACTCATTTGATTAATATACGTGTATGTTTTCTTGTTAAAGGGAAGCCATATTACGATGTTCTGAAGCTGCTGGCTATCATTTAGGAAGAAGAAAGAAGGTTAAAGACAAAACTATGCTTTTTACCTTAGTTTATCCTAAAGAAATAATTATGATTTTGAGGTAGCACATCCACATATAATGGTTATTAATCTACCATTTATGGTCAAATTAATTGAGATTGGAATTGGGATTTTGGAGTGTTGGTTTTTGTAATATTATTATTAGTGTATCAATGTATTTTGTTACCATGTCACTTAATTGTCATTTTACTCTTGTTTGTAGGCGGCAAAGAACATACAAAAGCTTTTAGGAGGTAACTGCCTTTTGTGCCTTACTTTATGACCTGGAATAAGCACTTGTTCTTTTGTCTAACAAGAACGCTGTCAAGAGTGTTTAGTCTCGCTTGCTTGGAGATTAGATAGGAAATGAGGAGGTGATTAATTCTACATGAAACGGGATTTCCTCGCTAAAAGTTTTTCACTTTCTTCTTTATTAATGGAGAAGTATTCTTTAGGGTATTTACTTTTTGCCCCTGCAGGCGAAATCCCGAGAAGGCACTCTAGTAACTTGCGCGTACATTAAGGAAAGTACTTACAGTTGACATATACAGTCAGTTTGCCAGAAAACATCATTTGCATACAATGAAAGGTTACAACACCTGACCAGTTTATAGCCTCACCATGGACGTTTTCTCTGAAGTATTCACTTGTTCCAAAGTAATCAGTTCTTTCAGGGGATAGAATTCATGGATGACCTGTTCCGGAAAAGCAGGACGTCTTTCGCATCAATCTTTCCTAAGCTTTCTTCCCAAAGTAAGCATGGCACTAGCTGTGACACACTGCGTTTCCACAGGCTCCACTAGGAATTCCTGGATGTCTTTTAAAATGAGCAGAGAATTTGACATATGAGATGTAATTCAAGAGCAGTTTGGATTAAGACGAGGCCGCGAGAATTGCACCTGTCTTCAGAGAAATTGAGGACTTTTTATTGATCTTGATTGACGCGACGTGCAATACTCCACAAATAAATTTTTCACAAGAATACTTTGATCGACTTTGGAAGCTTCTTGACAAACTTTGCAGTGCATAAAATTATAGGCTCTTGGTTCAGCTTTTGTGGGGGTCAGAAAGCCAAACTGCATGTGAGGTCTTGGAAGTGTCAAATAATTTTAAAAAAATTCCCTAAAGTTAGTTGTCCATTGGAGGAGTTTTTGTGTTATCATACTTGTCCAAATGATGTAATGGTCGTCTCAGACGACCACTAATATGTTCATGTATCCCTGATCCTGTGTGTGGTTTTAATAGTTTGTTTGATTATTATTTCATTAGACGTTCCTGGTATGGGGCATTCAGGTATGAGTGTCAACATGATGGTATCGTCAGAAGGCATCAAGTTAACAAGCATTGAAAATGGACGAGTAATTGCCAATCATGACATGCAAGGAATTTCATTTGCCAGTGGTGGGGAAAAGGTACTTGGTACTTTGTATAATGTATTATTTCAGGGCTCAAGTCAAGTCCTATTCGGTTATCTGCCGAGGGTTGTCTGGGCTGGGCACATAAATATCCAAACAGTGGGGCCTCGATAAAACCAAGGGCCACCGGTGTACCAAAAAAATGTGTTTAGTATAATGAGGTTTACTTAAATTGAGGTTCTTTTCCATTTATTTTATTGTTATTGGGGCGAAAAATATTGCCCATTGGGCAAGTTTATCACACAATTCACTAGCCCGATCGCAAAAATCTATCAGACATGACTTTCTTTGCACACTAATATAATAATTATGATATTTAATATTTTTCTTATAGGACTGTATTGATATGATAGGATACGTGGCAAAAGATTCCATAAATGGACGAGGTATGTGTAAAACTATGCACCGTAAAAAATATATTGAATACAGTCAACTCTTGCCATGCGTGCACCCTGCTGTAGCGCTCACCCTGATAATAATATGGACAGCAGCTTAATCCCAGGCAAAAGTAAATTGAAGACATTTGACTGGAACAAACTCCTGCTATAATGGACTCTCACTACAATGAGGACACTAACTGGAGGTCTTTACACTGTCTGTTGTAAAGGGAGTTGACTGTAATTTGAATTTAACAGTTTGGATAGTTGTTGGCATATGAGATGTGGTTACAAGATAAAAGGTGTTCCCACCTGGAGGTTCGGCAATAAAATGAATCCTATGTCAGCATTTATTGATCAATATTAAAGGAGACAGAAGACAACATGAATTCAATAAGGTGTAGAAAAGCATTATGATTCTTAGCTGGAGACAAGTTTTACTTCGATAAAAATATTTCTTAACTTAAAATGATCTCATTCTGTACATTTTCCCAAATAATCTGGTCTGTTTTTTTTTTTTGAAAAAGTCTCCATTTGAGGTGTAGTTTTTACCTTGTATGGTGTTTTCTTGCTCAGCGTTCTTCATCTTGGTGAGAATCAGTTAATCTTTGCCTTAATTCTATTTTTGTTTTGAACAGCCTGTTTTGTTGTTGACTGTGGTGGCGGACTAGCATATGATGTGATCAATACCATTGGACAGGCATTTGAGATTCGTTTTAAAATGTTTTTACAGAACCCTCCACTTGCCACTGAAGTCCCAGAAAGGTGAGGAGATATATATGAAAATGCATTGTTAAATATATGTGGGCACTGAAAAATGACAGATTTATTTCCTTTTTTCGTACTATTTTCAGAATGAAAATCAGAGCTAGATGTATCTTTAATTTTTTTATGGGAACTGTAGGGTACTGTAAACCTGTTGAACCAAACTCCCCCATTGTTTATTCTGGATTTACTGTCAGAGCAATGAACAAGCAACATTGTGTGACTGCCTGTGTTTATTTGTTCAGGTTTTCTGAGTCAATATTTGACGAGGGAGAAGACCACACTTATGAAATGGAGTATGAACAGCCCAAGAATGATGGATACCATGTACAGGTGATTTAAACAAAATTGCTCTCAGATCTGAATTGCAAAAAATGGTCGTATATAATTCAGGGTTCACATTTTACTTCTGTGTCCTGAGTTTCCCAACTCATAAAACTATGTCAATATTGCTGGTTATAGCACAACAGGCTACTTAGACTAAATGCATCGCAAAACAAGGAGGTTGGGAGGGAAAAGCCTTCAGTGTGTGTTTTTCTTTCATATCACTTTTGGTATTGTTAAATCTTCGAACACGAAAAGCTGTGATATTCATCTTTCAACTTTAGGATCATTTGGGTGCTATGACAGATACGTTAGCCAGTGCGAAACCACTTAACATAATTTTGTTGCCCCATGTCAAAATTCAAAATTATTTTGGTTGTCGGAGACAATCAGGCAACTATTTTAAAGTTACCGGCAGATTATTCTAAACCCAGTACGCTAATGATTGCTTCTATGTCTTTGTTTTGGTAAAGATAAAAAAACTGCCCCCTCCCACTTACAACCCCCCCCACATTTATAGGCCATTTTGCCTGTAAACAAAAAAATTACATCCGATTAAATAAGTCCCCTGGATGTAATGTCCCCTTGTATTGAAATGAATTCGATTTATTATGACCTGATTTGAAGCCTAATTTCAAAACCATGAATGCATGACATATTTTGATCAGCACTGCCCTAATTTGTTTTGAAGTGCTTTTTTTAGTCTCGTTAGCAGCTTCCCTCGGATATTAGTTTTTATTATATAGACATGAGTGTTTTACTGGGAAATATACCACTCGTAAAATTCATAAAACCTACATCTGGGACCCGAGTGATTTATTTTCCATAATCTCACACGTGAGTTTATCGATGACGTAATTTCGGTAATTTCCTTCTATTATTTTATCGATGTCTTTTTGTCTATATAATAAAACGAATATTACACAGCGGCTTGAAGATATGAATTTTATTTTCTCGTAGCAAAAACAATATTTTACTCACTCGCTGCGCTGTTTCGTAAAATATTGTTTTGCCACTCGAAAATAACATTCATATCTTCGTGCCCCCGTGTAATATCCTCTATATAAGCCCTCCTAAACACCCTTAAGAAGATGTATAAGCTCGGGGCTCCCGACTGTGCGGCAGTTTACGGTATTCAATTTACTGCAGCCACCATCCACATATCAAACTGCTAATGCTAATCCAGGAGGATACATGGCCCTGAGAAGCAATGCAACAGGTGGCTTTGACACTTATGACAACCCAAACAAAGCAAGCGTAGGACATGGTTATGATGTCCCCAGGTCATCCAAGACTTACACTAACAGACAAATGCCTGCAGGTAGGACAATCAGATGGCTTTGAAAGATAAAATGTTAGTTGGCCATGTTTTTTTCATGGTTATTAGGAAGAGCATAGAATGGAGCACGGATAGCCAGTTTCAATGTGAAAACAACTGGCAAGAGAAAAGGAACTTTGACTTTGCTTGTTACAGAGCAAACAAGTGTTAATGTTTATGAAATGTTCTTTGATGATTTAGCTTCTCAGTAAATATCCTATAGATCTGAAATGTAAATACAAATTCAAGCAGACAAGTCTGTTTCTAGTATTTGATTGTGGTGCACATTTAGCCCAGAAAGACCTTTAAAGGAGCTAAAACTTATTTCCTGCAGATCAGCACACATGTATTTATATTTTATTAACCATGTACATGTATTTAAAATATTATTATCATTTTTTATTGTCAACATCTTTGACAACAATATGTTTATGCAGGTCTGACTTGTCAAAATGTGAATGAAATCTGTTGGTGCAACCATTCAAGTGCCTAAACCTGTTAGGAATACTGCTAAATGGAGCCATTACTTTCCAATATTTTTCACATCAGTTCTTTGAATTTCTTATCATTTTGAGTTTTTTCATTTTACTTTTCCAGGTATAAGGGATTACGATAATGCATTAGCGACCTCAGGTGCCTTTGGTAACAGTAATGGTATAGCTGGTCAAACTGCCAGTCTTCCATTTGCCGCTGGCCCGTGCTATGAAGATCCTGATAAAGTAGCATTTTATGAGAATCCTTTGGCAGCTCCAAAGGTTCCTCAAAGAAATGACAGCTTGGAGAAACATCCAGGTGACCCGAAAGATTCATCACTGTATGATAACCCCAATTCTCCTATGGATGAATCAGGTGCGTGTACAATTTGTTAAATTGTCTTAGCTGCTAATCTCCTGTCCTCTGAAAATGGCTTTTCTGTGTATGGACTACCTTCTTCTTGTGCCAAACCAGTACTATCTTTAAGCATTAGGACAAGTCCTGCTTGCTCTGGTAAAGTTGCCTAGTGTCGCCTCTTAATTTATCTAAATACGATTTTCCTAGTAATGTAACTCCTGGATCATGAGGAAGATTAGAACTTCAGTCAAGAGGGAGGGAATTCTCCCTAAAGTGGAGCAGCTTTTTTCACTTGATTGGGAGCTTGAGGACCAATTGCTGATTATTTCTTTCCAGACTTTTCTGTTCCACTTTACTTCAGGCTGCATGGTTCATTTCTAAACTTTTTTGCTCTATTCCTCCATGTTTAGAAATTTCGGGAATTTTTTGAAAGCTCTCTTTATTGCCATTCCCAATGATCTCTGTCTTTTGTATTGTGGCTTAATGTGACTTTTACTTTATTTTTTCACATGTCGACACGAAGAAGGATGGGCAATGTTTGATAGAGAGGTACAACCTCCTCCTCCGCCTCCTCCTTCGATGGCAACAAATCCTGCCAACCAGGACTACATGAGCCCACAGCCTACCAAAAAAAAGCCACCACCTAAGCCCAAACCATATGCTGCTAGCAGATCAGTAAAACAGGAACTCCCTGCAGTCAGCGAAAGTAAGATGTCGGTATTTTTCTAACTTTAATTGCGTGATATTTAGCGTATTATTTGATGAATCGAGCTTTTTGAAGTTGACAAAGGCACAGGTTCCAGCTGCCAAACAAGTATGTCGCCCAAGCATTAGATCAAACGTTACAAAAAACAAAAATGAACTTTGAAAATTGTTAGGCTAATAAGTTTTCAAAAACCACAATATTGCAATCCGTTTCAGTCTTCTTCAGGTTTGTCCATCCGTGTCTCCTTTTTTATTTGCTGTCTTGTATATACCTTCTTGAAATGATTTGAGCTGTTATTTTTACGTTTCACTCAGTTTTATGGAAGTTCCGACTGTTTTATTTTCGTGATACAGCTCCTTTAAGCATGCAATTTTTGGAGGGTGGTGGGCAGTGGGTTGACAGCGAATTGGTAGGAGAAAAGGACATTTTCAGTAGAAAAATAATTGGCATTCAATTTCCGCGAACTATAGCAAGAACGGTGGAGCTGTGAGAGATTTTGCACGAAATTTGGTCTTTCTTGTAGTCTAGAGATCATGTTAAATTCATTTGTTTTTAGCCACAGCCCAGGAACCCATTCCTTTGGAGGTGGAGGTTTGGTACCATGGTCCCATGTCCCGCGCTGAAGCCGAGTTGCTGTTGGAAGACGAAGGCGACTTCTTAGTGAGAGAGAGCAAGTCAAAGGCTGGACAGTATGTCCTGTCTGGAGTTCAAAACAGCCAACCCCGGCATTTATTGTTGGTTGACCCACAGGGCAAGGTACTGTGATATTCTCCTTTACAGTGAAATAAATATTTGTGTATTAACCGCGTTAGCCTGCGAGCAAGCTTTCCCGAGCGCTGTGGCGGCGGGGTGTTCCCTCTTCCCTACCCCAGCCCCCGTATCCCCTGACGAGCTTGCCCCAGGCTTAAACCGTGAACAGTCCCATGATCTGCTCCTGTTGATAGTGTGTTCGTCAACACTGTTTATTTAAACGAAATTTAAAGCTCCTTTTTCTTGAGTTACTACAAACTGAGACTGTTCTGCGGACCATTCCAGCCGGAATCGAACAGTGAATGATGTTTTTGCAAAGTAAATGGCGAAATCTGAAAACGAAATAATGTTTAAGACGTGATGAATAGTTGTTTTATATCAGCATATCTATTAGACAGGTTACTTTGAACCCCGTTTAAATCCTCTCTTATCGAGGAGAAACGGATGTTTTCGCAGGCTAGAAAATTGTTGGTTTACATGTAATAGTTTCGTTAAAAAAAAAAAATTCAAATACCTGTTTGTGAAACCCATCTTCACCTAATTTTCAGGTCCGTACCAAAGATCGGGAGTTTTCAAGTGTTCAAGAGCTTGTTGAGTACCACCTAAAGAACAGTTTACCCATCATCTCTTCTGGCAGCCAAGTCACAATATCCAACCCAGTTCTCAAACATTAATGCAGCTACAGTGAATTACTCTAAGTGTGGCAGTTTTTGATAGGAAAACTATAATCGAAGCTAGAAGAGGAACTTATCTTTCTTGTTAGAGTCTAGTCTTCAGTGAGACCAGTCTACATATGCATGAGTTGAAGTCATTGAGGATGAGTGTAGTTTGCACAGAAGTCGTTGCTGGGACGCTTTTAAGGCAGGCCTCAAGGTACAAGCACGACGCGCGGCGCGCGAGGAAGGAAGGAAAGAATAAATAATTTCTCTTCTGCTTTCTCTCGCGTGTCTCGCTCTCCGCGCGCACGCGCTAACCCCCCCCCCCCCGGAGCGCCCCCAATGACCCCTTTACACAGCTAATGTAAATGGTAACATCTTTAATGTCTTTAATGCCATGTTTTAGTGGTAGCATATCATCAAGTATTATTTTATATCGTTAAAGTGATTTTTCATTGAGAGTTAAGGAAAGTGATTACCATGGTAACGACGTTTACAAGAGATGTAGAAACTCCGAGTGGATCAATCAGAACTCGAATCCGATGTACAAGGCTGGCAAAAAGCGCGGGAAAATTATGCGGCGTCTGTTACAAGCCGTCACTGGTTTCAGTCTTTTGGTTCATTTCAAAACGTGATGCAACAGTTTTTTTAGCCAGTCACAAATCGTTCAAGTATAATTTTCCGTGAAACAGCAGCTTACAGCTGATGCCAAACAGCTTCAAGTAAACAAAAGAAGACAATGGAATTAGTACATAATAGAGCCGAGTAATTTACTACTTTTTTCACGGGTTAAGTAAGATCCCTCTGACGCTTTTGTCCTTCATTTTGTATATATATTGATATTGTTATTAGCATCAATGACATGCACCCTAGGTAAGGGGAGAACCAGTGCTTACAACAACTGGCTGGATTAAATATTTGTTGTGGTTGTTTCTGCTGGCCGCCCCCCCCCCCCCCCCCATCTCCCCTTTTCGGGCAATATTTTTTAACGACAAATTTCCTGAGAAGTGTTAATTCTAGCAAGGTGAAAACAAAAATTTAGTGGTAATGAGTAAATTTCGTCGTAGCGTTCTATTTTCAGCTTAGGCATTATAACAATTTGTAAAACATTGCTTCAGCTCTTGCGTGCTGTCATTATTAAAGGGAACCTCCACTCTTACTACAGAATAAGTTTAAATCGAATAAAATTATGTTGATAAACAAATTTGTTCGAAATTTGTCTTAAAAAAAGTGTTTATATCAGGAAAAGTGAATTTTAAAATCGCTTATTTTCACTTTCAAATTTCGCGGGCGCCGCCATCTTGAATAATTGTGACGTGTTACGGTTGCTCTATTGTTCTGACACAAAGAGCTTTTGTTTAATAACAATAGGGCAACCATTACACGTCACAATTATTCAAGATGGCGACGCCCGCAAAATTTGAAAACAAAAATAGGCGAATCTAAAAGTTATTTCTTTCGGATACAAACGCTTTCTTTAAAAATATTTTAGATTGACTTGACTGTAACAGTTATTTCCTGTGATTTAAAGTTATCTTTTTGTTGAAGTGGAGGTTCCCTTTAAAGTCTTACCAGTAGGTCTTAGGAATTAAGAAGAATTAAATACCTTTTGCTTGTTTTATTTAACATTTGGATAGCCAAGTGACTCTCAATGTCTCAGTACTTGAGAAACTTAAAAAAAGCCAACATATACAGTAATTGTTTGAGGCTAGTGACTACTGCATAGACTGGCGTTCTGTTCCAGTCTCCTCGCAGCCGTTACAGTCTGTCTCGTCACGCAAAAGAAGCGTTGGGTGACGAGACATTTCACGGTGTGCGTGGGAGACTGTTCTGTCAAGGTTATTTGTCTGGTTTTTTCGGAAAACTTTTTTTTTAACGCGAATGAAAACTTTGACCTACATGAAAAGAGCGTTGACTGTTCTTAGCGTAGGTTTCTTAATTTCCCTTTTGTCAATTTTTGTCGATTGTTCATCAGTTGTTGCTGTTTGTTTGTGAGAGTTTATTTTTTACCAACAATGTTAACATATATTTCCTTACTGGATTCTGTTGGGTATTTGTCTTTGTCAAAAAGTTTATGTAGTTTATCTGAAATAACTTGCTTTCACGCTTACAATGATGTTAACACTCATTTCAGTGGAATCACTTGAAGTAATAGTAAAGTTCTAGTACAACTTGTAGTACTTTAATGAAATGAACTCAAATCAGCTAGCTCTGGTTTGTTGGCTTCTAGCAATAGAAATAGCTGGTCTATTATGTAAACAAATTAATTGCTAGTTAATTTTGTTCAGAGCATTCTGCATCCTGCAGCATTTTGTGGTAGGAAAGGTAATAAAACAACAAAAAGAGGCGTGTTTCAATGTAAGCGTTGTTGTTGTGAGTTCCTGTTCCAGGGGCTTAAAACCCGAATAGAAAAAGCCTTTCGAAACAAGCTATATCATTGTTGATCAAAATACGTTTTGCGGTGTCTTGCCCCAGTTTTCACAGGGTGCCGTGGATAGCGCATCCTCGGAGACCCAGGGGGAGATAGTGGGGGCGAGGGAAAGTCTAAACTGGCGGGAAAATATGGCACGAAGAAAAGTAAAGAACAGCGAGAAGAGCCCCTGGGGACAATGTCTTAACAGACCAGTTCCAAACGGTCGCCGCCGTTCTGACTTCTGATTGGTGCTACAAAACTTTTGTGTTTTTCTGCCCAATCAGAGGGCAGAACGGCGGCGACCGTTTGGAACTGGTCTGTTGAGACATTGTCCCCAGGGGCTCTTCTCGCCGTTCTTTACTTTTCTTCGTGCCATATTTTCCCGCCCGCTTAGACTTTCCCTCGCCCCCACTATCTGCCCCTGGGTCTCCGAGGATGTGGATAGCGCTACTTCTATCCAGTGGATAACCACAGCGCTATCGAAAGTTTACACAACCGCGTCTGGTATTTAATTAAGCTTCAAAACGTCGTAATAATCTCCTATTGCAAATTTAACGCCCTTGTTTTGTCTCATCGTGGCTTAGCTGAACACAGTTCCTTTAGAAATGCCCTAACATCATCTGAGATATCGCGTGATCTCAGCGCGTTCAGCATGCGCACTTAGGGAGCAATGTGAGAGCGCTTGTGCAGTATTGACTTTCGATTCACGAGCAATATTAACAAACGGGGCCTATGTATCTCTTAAAATCTAATCATTAAAATTTGACGAAATTCTGTTCATAGACATACATACAGACATAATTTATTCAAGGTGTATTAAAATATATACAAGGTTTAGAAGTTAAAAAAAGGTCATCTTGAAATGGAAGTTATCCCTACGTTAAAACTTCCCCAAATAATAAGTGAATAAATAAAAAGATAAGAATATCATAATAACAACTACAATAATGCTAAATGGCAATTATTAGTTAAACATTGAGATAAAATTTTAGCTTGGATTTAAATAATAGAAGACTATCAGCTTCAACTATGTCTTTAGATAAATCGTTCCAGAACTTGACTTTTCTAATGAAAAATGATTTTTTTACGTTATGCTAAAATGCTGCTTGTTCCAAAAACGTTTTTTCCCTTCTGCTGGGTAGATTATGCTCTAGAAGGTTCTGGTTAAGACGCCTATTTCACATTGAGAGGTAATGGCACACATATCGGACATATCGATTTACTGTGGTTTTTGTTTCCATTCGGCCGGATTTGCCCTCTCATATCGATGCAAGAGCAAAGGGCTCTAATTTTCTCCAAAGTGCTTTCTGGACCTGAATAACTATGTGACTGTTTTTAGTCCGTCAATATGCAATGCTTTATCGCGCTGGGTCCAGCTCGTTAGTTTTCTTTGCAGGATGTTAAATTATCACGGATAGTGATTTACGGATCCAAAGTGATAAGATTGAAGTGCAGCTTAAAATGAAATCAACTATGGAGAATGCATTGTGACTCAGTAGAATCCAGCTTAGTGTTTTTCTAAAGAAAATGTGAGTCTTTTGACTGGAGCGCGTAATTCCTTCCTTCGTTATAGGTTTTTAATAAGCTTAACAGTGTTTGGACTGTTCTGTTATCGCTGTTGCCACTTTGTGATCAAGCAAGACCATAATTTCGGTTCCCCAAGCGAACCTCATCAGTTACCTGATTGGCTTTCTGCTTAGTTGCTTTTACAAGAGCAACTTTAGTTGTTCTCTTTTGTGGCTAGAACGGTAGAGCCGTTCTTTCTACTGAGCCTTGACCTTAAAGTGCTACTACGATCAAATTTGGGAATTTGTTTTTGATTACATATTTCGAAAATGTATGTAAAAGTGACTTACCGTGCCAAGTTTGGAGTCCAAATATGATCTGGAAGTGTGTTTATTTGCACGGCAATTTTCGTAAATGTCTTGCCGCCATTACTCGATTCAAAAAATGACCGGGAGTAGTCAACCTCGTCCCCAGGGTCTTCTCGCTTTCCAATATGGCGGCGGCAGGAGAGAAGACCCTGGCACACAGCGAACTAAAACCATCGCTGATTGGTGCATTCTGTTGCGCGTTCATACGTACGCTCTCATTGGTTTATTCATTCCAAAACAAAGATGGTTATCCTTTGAGAGTTTCGTAGAAGCTCAGAAATGCTTTCTTCAGTGTTTGAGACCGAAATGGTGGACAGAATTCAGGTCTGATTGTTCGGAAAGCTGTGACTGTACCGTTGGAAGGTAAAGATTCGAAGATAGTGATATCTGAAATGGTAATTGCTGGGAATATTATAAGGCGTAGAGGTATTGCTCGTGCTATTTGGTTTGTGTGTTCGATTCTAAATTACTAAAGATTTGTTTCTTTGATTCCCGATATGTGAAAGAATACTTGCAAGGCTTCAGCTTATCAATAAATTTAGCTGTCCGTTTGCAAAGGTTTAGTATTGTTCTGCCTTTTGTTTTCTTTGAACAATAGCTGTATGCATAATATTATTAATGTATGGGGTTATACGGAAATCTTGCATAATCTGTGCTTTGTCTCAGCAGTTTTTTGTCGGGTGAAACATTTTTTTTCATTTGATCGTAACATGTATGGGCCTAACCTGACCTTCTTTTAGTGTTTTCCACGGTGATTTTGAAGGGGGATGAGGAGTGAGAGATGCAGATGTCGAAACAAAACTAAAAATTGAAGCCAAACATAGTGTCGATATCCTTTGATATTTTTAATCCTGACTTTTCATTTATTCAGTTTTCAGTGTCACAATGATGATAATTTATTATTATTTGCTCATTTCATTGGCAGTAAAAGACAGCTAAATACAGAGACATTGGGAAAATAAACTGTTTCCTTTTCTCAGAAATGAAAAACTTTCATATTAATGTTTGAAGCTTGGGAGATTTCTTTCTAGTTGCAAAAATAAAATAATGAAAGCACATGATGTCTTTTCATTTTATCAAGTTGAAAACAGTGATCAGCCCATGCAAGGAAATCTGACAGTCTTGGATTCTCAATTCTACACCATGGATACTGCATTCTGGATTCTTTGTCAGTGGAACTTGGATTCCGGATTCCAATTATAAGTGGGATCTAGAGTACTTGACCTTTATTCCAGATTCCAAGAGAAAAATTTCCCAGATTCCGGATTCCCTTACATAGGGTGACAGTGCTCCTAAGATAAATATGTTTTCTGTCAAACCAAAACCTGTTAATTGAGCTTCTACTGTAGGCTAAGTGGCTAAGTGTACATGTTGTTCTTGTCACTATATGCTTGAAAAGGGGGTTTGTGGACCAGGTGAAATAGTGGCTGGCATTATAGTATTCCAAAACCAGCTGGGTATGATTATGAAGCAGCTATAATTCAGTTCTAAAACTTGGATTTAAAAAAATAAACTGCTTCAAAGGGTGCATATATCACTATCCACTGAATAAACAAGAGTGGAAGGGACCTGCAGTGTCTTGATCATGGGATTTTTCATGTAGGGATGTAAGGCTTTTGAAGTTTTGTGTGCCAGAGTCCCCAGTAGCATAGTGAGCTTTTAGTTGCCTAGTCACAGCCAATGAGTTTCA